AGCTAGACATCTTGAGTTTCTGTAAAGCTAGAGAAATCAGTTAGCCATGTAAAAGAAAGAAATTTCAAGACCTTTCACTGCAGAAGAAGCTTCAGTATTAATTTGCCCCTTATCGCACAGGGAATAAAAGCTTCAATTCAAAATACTTATATGTTGGAAACAAGGCTTAATTGCCCGACACCTTAAATCTCCGACCTGATAGGTGGATTTTGTGTTGTCTGTTAATGTAAATACTGACTGAAAGCAAGCACATTCCTAACATTCTTAACTTGAATGAATGATGTTAGTGTAGTTCAATTAAAATTCTATTTTGTGTAACTCAGAGTTTCAGTGGACCAAGATGACAGAACCCTCTGGGAAACCAGACTTTATTAGGTCTGAGGCTTATGGAATTCATGAGGTTTTGCCCTGGAAATAAATTAATCCACTATGGTTGTCCCTCATTGTGTACTACTTATCTGAGAAAAATTAATGACCTTTAGCTGTAAAAAAAGATGTATTTTTCTATGCAATCGTGTACTTTCCAGTCATGAGTCATGAAGACACTTTCAGATCTCCTGCCCTTTCTTCCCCACTCTTCCTTCCCTCTGAGACTGAGAGTGTCCTGGTTGTCTGAAGCCTTTGTGCTTTGTTGCTCCATCTGTGCACACCAGGATAACGTGCTTGCTTGTCTGTGACTCATCTTACCGCTTTCAGGTCTTTGTTCCTGGTATTTTTATTGAACTGCTATTCCTCCATTATAAATTCAGACTGAACATTTTTTTCTTTTGTTTGGTAAACCATTGTTAATTCTTAACTCTTAATTTCAAAACTCTTTCTGGAGTCAGTTCTTCTGTAGCTTTCTCTTTGGGTCACAGCATTACAATCAGTGTACATAGGAGGTTATTTCAGGAGCTACAAAACCTGAGGAATCTCACAAAAACAAAACAAAACAAAACAAACACCAAAAAACCAACAAAAGGGTTTCAGAATCAGCTTCCTCCACCTGTGTTCATGAGCAGGGTTACAATTCACACAGTGCATTAGAAATTGCCGCTATCAGAAATAAGTCTGCTATCTTATTGTCTTGTTTTCCACTGTCAGCCATCACTATAGCTATGGAAAGAAATGCTCCTGAAATCTTTTCTTTCACCCTTATATAGTGTCTTACCACTCCATTTCCCCAGTGGTATCATTATTTTTTTTTGTTTCTTTTTTTTTTTTCATTATGCACCTTACTCAGAAAACAGTTTACACTCAAATACAGTCAAATTTAGAGTGTTCTTGAGAGCTGAATAGTAGCATCTGCCCTACTGTTTCTGAGCTTTTTTGTTTCTTAAGCCATGTGTTGAAAGGTGAATCTCTCAGAAATACCATAGCAGATTCTCTGTACAGCAAGTAAACAATCTTTTGCACAGAATCACAAGCATGGCCTTCCAAGTGAAAAATTGAGGATCCAAAACCAGTTCACTACCATCAGGTTGCAAATTGCAGTAGGACGACCAATATAGACCCAATTCAGATGCGAGTATGCTCCCTCAGGCCTGTCTGTGGGAGAGTGGGCACCGCTTCCTCTTACAGATGTGTGTGATGTGTGTTGAGACAGGGAAGTCTCCACAGCTGCTCTTCCTCCCAGAAAAGTGCATTGAAAACCTGGTCTAAAGTGTCTTCTCATGGACTTGTAACCTTTGGAAATAAGCTTGGCCTTGGACAAGTTTTGATACTTCTGGTAGACGGGGAAATATGGGAACAGCATACAGGTTCTTCAGCCTCTTCTGATCTCCCAGGCAGCTTTTCCCAGGTGAAGTCATTAACATATCTGTAATGATGCTCACGCAGACAAAAACCTGAACACAGTGCTGTGCACAAAGGTTCCTATCTCCCTGCAAAATGATGTCTCCCTTCATTGCTGATGTTAGCCATAGACATCTTCTGGACAGTATTTTGGCTTTGTCACAGGCCCAAAGCCCAGTCCCATAGGTGACTTTCTGATAGTCTCTAGCCTTGTACAAAAATATCCCCCTTTTCACATTCTGCTGCCTGAAAGAAAAGTCATATTGACCAGCATTTCAGGAAACAGGGACAGCTCTGTCACCCCCATAGTGCACAGGAAATGACTTTACACTCTGGAAATTATGTTTGAAAGCCTGTAGTTAAAGAGGTACTATTTCTTTAGTCAAATGTTTGATGGAGAGTGGGCAGGCACTTCTCTGTCGGTGTATCAGGTTGAAAAACAGACACACCTTCTCAAATGCATGTATAGCTCCTGGGAAAGCAGGCTGGGGGAATTTTAGGTATCCATGCAACAGTATTTTCATTTGTGTTGTTCCTGGTATGACATCCACATTTTTCCCTTCCTCTTCTTAATGCACATGCAAAGGTGAAAGAAAATCTGTTCATAAATGATTTATCAAAGTGCTATGTTATCTTCAGTCCTTCTAGTGGATTTGTCAAATAATGTGACATACTGTATTACACCACAAGAGTTACTGGTCTTTGTCATGCTCCTGGGGCAGGTGGGGGAGGTGGTGGTGTATGTTGGGTTATGTTACCAGCAGTGTAGATTTTACTGTAGATTTTGTGTGACATGGGCATTCAGATTCATTTCCTGGTACATGCATTTGTAAGGGCCTCCTCAGTAAGTCCTTCAGCCGCTGAGAAGGAAGTCTCTAGTTGTGTTTCAGTTACAACAACAAAGTCTTCTGAAAACTACAACGCATTAGATAATATAACTTTTTTGTTTTCATTTGCCTGGGAAGGGATATTTTAACTCCACAACTTCAGTGTGTTCAGCTCCAACTTCCTTCAGTTTGCTTCTCAGCCTCCAGTTAACTTATTAAAGAGACATTTCCAGATCTAGTGTCCTGATTTTCTTTTTAAAGCAGAGTGCTAGCACAGTAGTGGAGAGTATGGTCTGACAGCCTGTGGCATTAGAAGGTGGGAAGGGGCAACTGGGGAATGAAGAACAGTTGGTGTTTCTGCCTTAGGAGAAGTAAGGAGCGAAGCCTGCTGGAGACCAGGTAACTAAGGACAGATGGGACAAATTCAGAGGCAACTTAAGAAATTAAGAAAGCCATTTCAAAATTGATCTGAGTTGGAAGAAGAGACCAGAACCTGTAGCAAACGGTTTCTCTTCCCAGAGCAGCTTCAAAATTCTGAAGTTTGCCGTTTCATAGTGAGGCCCTTTGCATGCACACTTGGCATGGTTTTCGCTGAAAGAGCAGCCTGCAAGAGCTGGACTTAGAATTGATTGTGGTTCCTTCCCTCTTCCTTATATTGTGGCTTGGGTTCATTTTTTTTCTGTAAACTATGGCCTTTGCGAGAAAGATTTTTTTCCAGAACAGGGGATTGAGAAGCGTAAACAGAAGAGTTAGAAGTCCGATTTTCCAAAAAAGGACCTTCTGCTTATAAAAAAAAATAGAAACTGCAATAGTAAAATGGGTTTCATTTTGATATAAAATGTCTGCCTGTTGCTGATAGGAGGGAGGTGATTAATACACTACTTTTCTTCTTAGAGTAATGAAGCCTGAGACTGTATTTTCCTTACTGACTTAAGCATAGCTGACGCCTCCATGCCCCTGTATTTCATGCAATTGTGACTCACTTACTAAATAGTAACCTTACTTATATTATTCCTCTCAAGTTTTTATTTTATCTATGTGTAGCTAAGGAGGCAACACATCTTACAAGTTACCAAATAGAAAACAAGTTCAATGGACAAAGACTGCAAAAATTACAAGAAATAAATGCAAGAAACATAAAGATAGGTAAAAGAGGAGTCAATCCCCAGCGTGCCTAGGTGGATGCAACTCTACAACTCTTATCCAGTTTGTTGTTTGACTGTTTTTTCTGACACAATGAAATTAAATTATATGGTACATGAGAATCCTGGAGATCCTTCCTGGTTTATGTGTCTTCTCTACCTTATTTCTGTCAAAAAAAAAAGTAAGAAAATATGGGCATGCTCTGAACGAGGCACATAAACAGGCTCTATCTGCAACTGTTTTCAGCAATCGCAGCTGCAGTTTCCCTAGGCTTACCTTGAGTTTATCCAGTGGAGGATCTGGTCTATTAAGTATCTAAATTTTAATGTTTCATGGTGATATGCTTCATGCCAAAGTTTATCTCCCCACTAAGAAATTTTGTGGGTGTTTTATGCTGATGGAGAAACTGTAACAGGGAAGTGCAACTTCTTTTCTGATTCTAGTTTTGTTTGTGTGATTGTTAAGGTAAGTTCCAGCCATGGCTGTACGATGAAGATATGCATAGTCTCTACTACATATTATATGCATCTTAGAAAATGTATTGACTAAAGAGAAGGTCTACCATATACCACTGTGATCAGATGTGCTCACAAGGCACTGCTGACAGACCGAGAAGCATGTTAAAATTCTGCTTTACTATGTCTAATTGGGCAGAAAAATCATTCCCCAAAAAACAGTAGGGAGGTGGGGTTTAAGGTAAATATAGGGAAAAAAGGAGAAATATAAATTAGGTTTTCTGCTGAAAAAAATACCCCACAACCCAAAAACAAAACAAAAAAAAAGCAAACAAAAATAAAGATTTGAAAAGACTGGGCTTTCTTGTTAGATTAATTTTTCAAGCTGGGTTTTCATTTTCTTATTAATATTTTTTAAATCTCAGTGTCTTGATAGATTTGGATCTGTGTAATAAATTGTGTGCACAGGCAAAACTTCCAGAGGATATCAGTTTGCATACTACTTTAATTCCAGTCTATGTGCTTTGATTTGCATATTTTTGAGGCAATAAATTGTGGAAAGGAATATTTTTATCTTTTAGCACTCTAAATTAGATATTGCTCAGATTTGAGGAGAACTGCTAGTGTTTCAAGGAGAAAGGAACCATAATCAGAATCCAAAGTAATTTCCAGTGCTCACAGGAGGAGATGTCCTCCTTCACAAGCATTGTCTACCATAGGCTGGAAACTCCTCTCTCCTACCTATGCCCTGTTCTCCCAGGACCTTTTTCCCTCCCTGCACTGTTCATTTCCTCAGGGTATAAAATAGTCCTTCCTCTCTGAATGAGAGGAATTGGTCCTGGCAGACTACATGTACAGTGTTCTCAAGTGCTGGCAGTTCAAGAAGCCCTTCTGTGATTTCTTGGGAATTGTTTCAAAGCAGTTAAAATAGGAAAACATCGAGCACAATTTTACAGAGCTGCATCAGAATAATTCCAGCAGCCAAGACTGCAAATCCTGTAAGTTGCCTTTGGAAATGTTTGGCTAAGTAGCGTCTTCCAAGGAAAGTGCAAGAAACAGGCACCGAAAAGGAATAGATCACTAGTACATAGTAAGGGGAATTTACTCCTAATTCTTCTTGGGCAACGGAGCCTGAAGGTTTGTATAGCAGTATCTGCATTACCTGTCTACCAGCCAAAGAGACCTGGCCACCTTGTGCATGGGGTTAGGGGCTGTGGGGTGAACTAGCAACTCTGTTTACTGCTGTTGATGTGGATGTAGCTGTCACATAGCTGAGCTATGAAAAAAAATCCTCAGTAATATTGTGAAGAGAGGAAGATACACCGATTTGGAGGATATCCAAATGGGCACTAGAGACACAGAGGGTGATGAGCTTGCAGCAAGGATTGGTAATTCTGGTAGAGTTCAGGGTGACAGGTGAGGGAGGATAGAGACACATCATACTGTGTATGAATCTACGTATGTAATTCTAATGAACCTGATATTTTACCCTATGACTTGACTAAGCTAGCTTTGTCTGTCTCAGAAATAATTCTGCTATTGTAGTGTAATGAAACCTGGATTGAGACTAACAGTCCAGCTGTAAGTAAACATGTTGGGTCAAATCATAGATGTGCTACTGTTCACGTAAATAGTGTTTTATCAGTTTGCTTAAGTGCAGACTCTAAGCTTATAAAACACTTGAATTCACCATATAGCTTCAAGAAACTGCTTGTAAATAAACGTTTCTGATGAAGACTGATAAGCCACAGAGCCACAAAAACATTTTTGTTTGCCAGTTAAGATTCAGTGGCCTGAAGAAAAAATTGATAAGGAAACATATTTGTTCTCTACAAATAGCTTCTTTTTATTTTTGGTAGTTCACCCATGGTTGAGATAAACACCAGATAAACAGGGATGATTTCTAATTCTTTCTACATAATGCCCAAATAAGGGAAACTGTGCCTTCAAGATTTTTTGCTGCCTTGTTAACTGTACCACTTATTTAAGAAAATCTTGCTGAAGTGTAGAAACCAGATGATTTTTTTTTTAATGAGAGATTGGAGAATTTCAGAAATAACCTAGAATGTGATAATTTTCATTACACAGTGTCTAGTTTGTTTCATGGCTTTATTTTCACTTGTTCAGATTACTTCAAAGAAGCATTATGCATTACTGAACAAGTATTGTATACTATACAGTGCATTCAGGTAATACTAGACAGCATTCAGGTAATACTAGACAGTGTATATCCAGTGGTATCCAGCCTACACGCACATTCACTCTCAAGGCTTCAGGGCTCTCAATGCCTTGCATCAATCACCAAACAAGCTGACATCTGGCTTCCTAAAAGCATGTCTACTCTGCTGTCACTCCAACAGAAGCAAAGTGCAGACATACCACAAAACCTAGGTAATATGAATCTAAATTAGCCTGTACTGTTGCAGCTGATTTATAAAAGTGTCTCTATTTTTTATGTAAGCTAAAATCTCTAAGGATATATGCTGTCATATTAAGCAGGGCTACTTTCATTTAATCTGTGCCATCTGAAGGGATGAGTACCTCAAGAAGATGATTCCTGTCTTTTGGGGTGACTAGGATAGGGGAAGTAAGGTGTTTATGTGGTCTTATGAGCCCAAACTTCAAATCCACGAAGTTAAGTGAGAAGACCCTTCTGCAGTGTGGTCACACTGTTACTGTGCAATCACACATCCATCCAAATCAGAACTAAACCAGTTTTTCATGTGACAGAACAGCCCAATAAGGCCCCTTTTGGTTCCCATTGACAATTCTAACACAGTGGACAACACAGTCTGATGTATTTTTGAAGACTTGCACAAAAAAATGAGAGCTGAAATTAGGAGAGTGGGTCAGACTTTTTAATACATCAGTATGTGAATGTAGAAGGCAGTCAGCTGGCCATTTAGAGGTATTTATTCACTACATTAAAGCTTCTAACTCTAATGGCCATAGAGCTGTGCAAACAGAAACCAGTGAGAGGCCTTGCTAAAAGCTTCAGAATTGTTCAGACAGACAAAAGAACGTATGAGCATTGAACATGAGAGTAAAATAAGAATATTATGGTTTACCTTAATACAAGAACAGTCACATGGCTCCGTTTCAAGGAATAATAGAAGCAATTAATCTTGTAGTGCATTCATGTGGTAAGATTGAAATCTTTATGAATTACACAGTAAAGATATTTTAGCATCTAATCTCCTTTTAAGTCCAGCAGTATTTTTTGAGAGATTTACAAAGTTAATATTTGACATTATGTTTCTAATGATATTAATAAAAGTGATGTAATTTGAATGTTAACCAATAAAATAAGGGACATAAAATGCAAACCAAATGCAAGCTCCATGAAAACAACTAATCAAATAACTCTTCCTATCCAAAATCTGCTATTCTTGGTTCTCTTAAGCAAAAAACTTTGTGAGTATTAGAAAAAAAAGTTGTGATATGAAGTTATTACTAAAAGCATCTAGAGTATTAGTAGTGCTTAAAATAGTTCATATTATACTGTAATAAATATTGTTATTGTATTGAAATATGATGCTGATTTTAAAATACCCTAACCTGTCATTATTTCACAATGTATACATGTATTTCTATATCACTGACTTTAAATAGTTTGATTAGTTTGAATGTCTTATTTAAATGTGTAGCTTTTACTCTATGTTTTTATATTGGTAATCTCTGAGTTTTTTAAATATGGGTATTCCTGATACTCCCAATATTCACTATGTATTGACAGTGAGATCTCTAATATGCACCTTAACAGATGCTTCTGTGGGCTTTCATGACCACTCTTATTGTGTGTGCTGTGTGTGTGTGTGTGTGTGCAGGTAAAATGTTTAACTTGTGAAGTTTAACAAGTACCTCTTAAGTCTGTTTTTTTTACAAGCTTATGATCAAGAATTCCAATCCAAAAATAAATTCTGACCATTTTAGGGTTAGTAGTATGGTGTATTGTTTTCATGTAAACCTGAAACCATTTGGAAAGATCCATCAGTGCCAGAGAACTGGCTTGGGTAGCCCTGCTTCTAAGAGCCCCACTTTTAGAAACCCATAAGGCACTCAGTGAAAATGGCATTCCTGAATGTCATTTTTACTGAGTAACTGTGTCATTCTGGGAATAGGCTAGTATTTTTAAAACACTATGTGATAGCTTAAGAGCTTCCATTGCATTTTTTTTTTATTATTATTATTTTTTGGCTGTGTTTTGGGGTTTTTTTCTTTTGATCAGTCTAGTAAAAAACTTTCCCTTCCTCTTTATCAGCATTAATAATTATGTTGCAGTCACCAGACTGATGATGAATTGGGGTTTTTTGCAGTATTTGGAGGCATTAAATCTGTAACTAGATATATACAGTAGATAGCTACCAACTTGAAGTATTTGGATTCTGGTGATGGTTGAAGGCCAATTTAACTCAGAGTTATATTATATTTGCTGAAAAGTAGACACAGCAAAGCAGTAAAACTGTGAACAATATTATTGTAAGTTATTGTATAGAGTACCTGGTACATTCATGTTCAATTACTCTATACTCTGATCCTTTCACTTTTCTTAATGTCATCAAGATCATCATCAAGATCATCAAGAAAGAGACCCATGCTGTCCATGTGGTCATTTTTTGGTTTATTTATTGCTGGATGGAAGTCCAAGCAAAATTTTGTTATTTCAGCAGTGACCACCAGTTTTCAGTGAGATGCATTCTTAACGTCAGCCAAGTTGCCCCTTGTAATGTTCAAAATATTTTCAGATACAGGAAAACCAATAAAAGTCGCTTGGCAATTGCACAATGATTTCTTTATGTCTTAGCAGAAAGGCTGTTATACGTTAAGTGGAAAACCTCATTCTTTTCTTTCTATTAACTGTAATTTAACACCCCAACAATAAACGTGTCTTTAGTCAATAGGTGCAGTGCCTTGTGCAGAACTCCATCATTGCAAATTCTTACAATTCTTCTAAGTCAAAATCCCAAATCAAGGTAAAGATAATAGACTTTAAAAACAATTTTCCCATCCCTTCTGTCCTAAAGGTGGCCATTAACAGCCTTTAAAACAACAGTTGCAGCCCAATCCTCAGACTATATACCTCAGTTCTAATATACAGAGGCAATTGCTCATGGAAGGAATGTAAGACCTAGTCAAGGTCTTATGGGTTTATATCCCATTTGGATTTAAAAGGGCTCATTCAGCAAGAGCAACTTAACATCTGGAAAGCTGCTGCACATTTTTTGCTGTAAAACTTGTATGGGATACATAGGGTTACTTTCTACTACTGTATTCTAAAGAAATATGAAGCATTGGCAGGATATGCTTGTAACATTGTGGGGGTTTAAACAACCTAAATACTTCTAATTGATTTGCTATTGAAACAGTCCCAGGTGTCAGAATATGAAGCAGTATCATCTCACAGCTCCACATGGAAGGTGCTGTCCCTTCTACATTATGGAAGAGAATGAGGAACTGAAGGTGTTGAGGATGGGCTAAAAGAAGTGGTGGGCCTGTTTCTATGTCACACAAGACTGAAGCGGCTGCTGGAAGGGAAATGCTGCATTGCAGGAGATGTATTTTGCTCCAGCATATGGCAGTTGGTCATTGTCAGTGTGAGTCAAGATACTGTCTAGAAGCAAAGAGAATTTGGAAGAGAGACACCCACGTAGTTCGCAAAGCATGTGTCACAGAGCCCAATCTGTAGTCATCCCTTGGTGGGGAGTCTCACTCGAAGGTTTCCTTCTCTCTCCAGCAGTACTTTTTTAAGCATTCCTTTGTACTACAAGGCAATTGATCATGGGGAGAACCTCGGTGTGTGATTTTCAGGTAAAGTGAATCCTTGCATAGGTGAGTGAAATTCATTGCCCAGGGGTGTATGTAGAGCTGATGTGGGAGGAAAGCTTGGGCTCCCTTCTTGCACAGGCAAAGCAGCAAACCTTTCATTGCTTTCTTGCTTCACTGCTCCTCAGCCACTGCTCTCCCCTGCTGCTCTACATGATGGTCTTAGGCTTGCTGAGAAAGCTGTGCATCATCACTACTCTTCACTGTTCAGCAATGGTGGTTACCCCTTTCTTGGCTTTGCTGTAGGACCTGTCAGAAAACACAGATTGCTGAAAGCCACAGAGTCTTTCTGGAGACTGAGCTGCACTAAGGACATTTGTGCATCTGTACCTTTAAGGTCTTTTACTACCTCAGGTTGTGATGCACCATTTCTCTGATGTACTGGACTCGGGAACAGAAGAAGAAACAGAAAAGCAGAATATTGGACAAATGTACATTTAAGTGAGTATAAACTCGTGCTGCTTTCATCTGTTTACTGTGTTGAATAAAACCTTTCTTTTTTCTTCTTGCTTCAGGTTTCTGTGTGGGAGTTAAGGTTATTCAGTGATGCAGCATGGGTCTGTCTATTTGTCTGCTGTTCCCAGTCAACACCTCGAGTCAGTGGCTGATTTCAGTGAAATCTGACAGAGACGTGATCCAAGAGGCCCTAGAGTCTTGCAAGCTCCATGAGTATAGGGGGTCAAGCAAAAATGTCCTTATCAGAAGAAAGACCATTGCTATCTATCAGGGAAGCCATGAATTAATCACCAGTAATGCAGATCTGCATGAAACAAGTCCTTTTTGTTCCACATTTCTTGCAGCATGTTGGTTTTTTCTTCATAACCTTGCTTATTTTGCTAAATTTTACACATATCTCTTCAAGCTGACAGTGGTTTTTGATTGGTAGCTTTTGCTTCAGATTTTCTTTGTCTATACAGAGAAGTCATACACCTGTACCAGAACAGAAAATGCAGCATGGCTATAATTTTGGTGGTATATACATAGTGTGTTCATAGTGTCAATTTCTGCATTAACCACTTGCAATAGAGTGTAATACCTCCGTACTGCTATAATCATGGTCACACTATAGGCTGTACTGGTGTAGGAATGACAAATCATCCCACAGGAGAATATGGCCCATTAGTTTTCTTAATTGAATTGTTGGGTATTTCTTTAAATGAACTTGCTCACGAGTCAGATGAACTGATGTTTTATAAAAAAGGTATATGATTTATGAATAATGAATTTTGCAGAGATTGTAGTGCAGTTCACTCAGGAAGTCACTCCTCACTGTCTAACCCTTTAGCTGATACTGGACTTTTATCTTTATTGTGTCTATAATGTTTACTTTTTTTTGGGGTAACATATTTAGTATTTTCCAAGAAAATCCTGAACATTTGTTCTGCACCCCATCATCAGTGTAATCCATGTTTCAGCTTCTATGTGATGAAGTCATATGTGCATTACAGACTTTTGGATATTTGTCAAAAACTCTTCCTGCGTGATTTAATTCTGGGGCTTTACAAATTACTGTGTGCTGTAGCAAACCAGATCAGCCAGATTCAGACCTGTTGATCCATTGAACTAGGACTGTAGATGGGAAATAAACCTTTTCCCTTCCTTCTCTGACTGTGCATGATACTTAAAGATGGTCACGTATAGTGATAATTTTCCCTTTGGTGTAGTACTTACCCCATTGAGTCACTAGTACCAACAGATACTGTACCCATGTGTGGAGGAACAAAACCACCAGGCTAAAGTTGCCTCAAAAAACGCAGGTCAATGTGTAGATCTTTATCTTCAGCAACCATAACAAACCTCACTACATTGGATTGCATATTTTTACATTAGCAATATTGAATTAAGATTAATGACGTAAAGGAGCACCTCCCAGTAGATCTGTAACAACTATAATAGACATTATCAGTAAACTACTATTTCTAGAATATAATTAATTAGACAAAAGGAAAAAGGTATACTTCATCTTATACCCTGTTGGATACCTGCAGTATTTGTATTGGATGCCTATGCATCCCTTTGCAATATCTGGGCAAAACCAGGCTCTGTTCTAGTACTACTCACACAATATGGTTCATAACATATACTGATGAAAGCTGGATGAACTTTATCATAAAAGCTGTGGTCTCAGGGCTCCTGGAAGAGGTTGTGTGAGGACTGCAGTACTGATAGACCTTATCAAAGACTATACAGTCTCGTTACATTTTTGTGCTGCTTCTATATAATACAAGAAACTGGAATTAGCTGACAGAACAGTTAAAGAAACAAACTGGAGATAATATGTATGCAATTATGTAGCTTGTTCTGATGATAATTTATTTCTCTTTTTTGATGATTAACAGTCTACAGTAAAAACGTTTTCACAAGAGGTAGACCCAAGCTTCCTCAGTGTTTTTGAACATACTTACATCTGCTTTTATCTTTGACTAGTTGCATTCAATCTTTATCGTACTTTTGAGAATATCTCCAAAGGAGCTTAAACTTCCATTTCCTCAAACAAATCTGTCAGTAATTTCTCTAGGGCATCAGCCTTCCCTAAACTTGTTTCAGCCTCCTGAATTTCATTTAGGTCTTGAGAAACATTCATTGAAATTGACTAACATAACCGATACTGCGGCATTCATTAAATTAAACAAAAAATTGGCTGCTTGAATCCCTTTTCATCTCTCTGATGCACAGCTAGCATGTCAATCTGTGTATGAATGTAGACAAAACACCTGTTAATTCCTTTTGGTTCAGTAACATATTAAAGATATTTATTAATAAGTGGATGAGTGGCTGTTGTGGTTTAAACCCTGTCAGCCATAAATCAGCCACGCAGTCTCTCTCTCGCTCCCCTCCCCTTTTCTTCCTCCTGCTCCGGGAGGGATGGAAAGGAGAATTGAAAGAATGTAACTCCCACAGGTTGAGATAAGAACAGTTTAACACAAATCACTACTGCTACCACCAATAATAATGATAAAAGACATAACAAGGGAAGACAATACAATACCATCCACCAACTGGTAATACCCAGCCCCACCGAGCACTGACTGATACCTAGTCCAACCCTGCAGTGAACTAGCCCTTCTGAGTAACTCCCAGTTTACATCCTGGGCATGATGTGCTGTGGTATGGAATACCTCTTTGGTTAGTTTGGGTCAGGTGTCCTGTCTCTGCTTCCTCCCGGCTTCCCCTCCTCCCTGGCAGAGCATGAGACTCACAAAGTCCTTGGTCAGAGTAAACATTACTGAGTAACAACTAAAAACATCGGTGTTATTAGCACTGTTCCCAGGCTGAAAGTCAAAACCACAGCACTGCACCAGCTACTAAGAAGGAGAAAAAAATGACTGCTGCTGCTGAACCCAAGACAGTGGCTAACAAATGAGCAATGTTCCATAAGTTCACTGAAAACAGATGTAACTGGTTTTGGAGAATGTCCCACATGAGAAGTAAAGCTGTTTCTCACCTTTGGGCCAACAACAGGCAGGCACCTGAAAGTTTATAGAGAATACAGTTCAATACAGTTGAAAAGGAGATTTTATCCAGTTAAGGTACTGACAGGTTACTTTGATTTGAGAAAAACAACCCCCAAAAAAACCCAACCTAAAATTCAAACAAAACCCACAAATGGTAGAGGATTTTCCAAATTGTTCAAAGCACTGCTTACTGCATCTGACCATAAAGAAACAAGTAAAACAATCATAGGAGGAATTTGCTGTGACAAAATAGGAACCGGTTGCTGTAAAAAGTTTCCAAACCAATATTAGATTGCCCTTCTAGATGGAAATCTGATGGGATGTCACTGTAAATCAGAAGCATTCAGAAGTGGACCAAAACCATGGACCAAAACCTGTTAAGCTACTCTTGTACAGCCATGTAAAGCTTGTTTGCAGTATCTCATCTGTGATTAGATTATGATACGTAAATGTTTCTGTGAATCTCGTTCTCTAAATAAAAACAGTGAACCGACAGCAAGGTCTAAGTAAATACCCATAGAGATTATATGGTACTGTGTCTTGGTCAAAATGAATGCCAGTAGAAGAGATTAAGAAAAGGTCTTTAGAAGGAAGTTGTGACCATATTGTTCTTTTCAGGGGGTCTCAAAGGTCTAATAACTAAAGATAGTATAGTAATACCTGATATCTTGAAGATGATCTCTACATTCCTATGTATACTTTACCAGTAATACTTAAACAATTTGGAACAGTACTCCAAACTTTAGAGTAAGTTGCATATAGCTGTTTGTTTCTGGGTGGTTTTTGTGTGTCTGTTTGGGTTTTGTTTTTTTTTCTTTTCTACTAAAGGAATAGTTAAAAAATATAAGGAGTCCTGACTTTCAAACTATCCGAAATTGGTCAAGGAAGGCAAAAGTGGCCATTGGCTCATATCCCTTGAAAAGTCAGTAATGTACATACAAAATCACATACTTTCTGATTTGTTTCAATGCAAAATACAGCAAAATCTTAGATGTGGAGATCTTGATAAAAATGCCAATAAAATCAATGGAAAGGCCCCAATTGACCTGACTATGTTTTAGAGCAGAACCACTATTATAAGTGTTAAAACTGCAAGGTTTTTAAAGAAGCTGCAAGAACAAACACCTGAGAGATGTTCAGATGTTCATTGTTATGATCAGCCCATAAAAGCCTTGTTTTGGGTATCTTTTTATTTGTGAGTGTATTTATGAGTTTCCCAGTGTCATGAAGGACATGAAGTTTTAATAAACACATTACTAAAGGAGAAGTAATTATACTTTCAGGAAAGTAACCTCAGAGACCAATTGCATACTTGAATATAGCAAATTTTTCTGATATATTGTTTCTTTAGTTTTCAGTGCCAGTAAGTATGGGTGATATCTGTGATCCCTTTTTTTTTCCTGTACTTACTTTTGCTGGGTACAGTCTAATAGTATAACCTCAGCCATTTGGTAGTTGTATAGCACTTCTCAGAGACACTTAATGGGTGGCATAAACAACTCAGTAGGTGACCCCTTCACCTTTTATCCCAGGATTAGAACATAGTTTCCCATCCATTGTTCATATAAATATAGGATGATGTTTTGCTGAAAGAACAATTATACAGATAAAAATTGATGATCAAAGGTAAATTCAGGAAAAGGAGAAGATACTAATCCCATGGTGACTTGATTCCAGTTTGGAGGAATTTTTATGGATAGAAAACTTGCCTTATGTTTTCAAACATAGTACTATTATCCTCTATTCTGCAGTATTTCTCTGTGCTCTGCATAGCGTATAAATGGAAATCCCCTATCCACACAGTATTCTTAAAACAGCTTGTGGAGGTTGAAAAGCCTTGAATTAATGTAAGATAGTGTTATTACTGGGAGTGTGTACATGTATGTTTACTCCAGCATTTTTCATTCTCATTCTAGTTCACTTTTGTCTTAACTGTCTAGCATTACAAACTAGCAGGGTTAAGGGAAGACCAGCAATTTTTTTTGC